GAGTAGGAATATATGTTCGCTTTCCTTACCTGAGCTCAGAAGAGTTTCCTATACAGTGTTGGAGTAGGAATGTATGTTCGCTTTCCTTAGCTGAGCTCAGGAGTTTCCTATACAGTGTTGGAGTAGGAATATACGCTCGCTTCCCTCAGCTGAGCTCAGGAGTTTCCTATACAGTGTTGGAGTAGGAATATATGTAATCGCTTTCCTCAGCTGAGCTCAGGAGTTTTCTATACAGTGTTGGAGTAGGAATATATGTTCGCTTTCCTCAGCTGAGCTCAGAAGAGTTTCCTATACAGTGTTGGAGTAGGAATATATGTTCGCTTTCCTCACCTGAGCTCAGGAGTTTCCTATACAGTGTCGGAGTAGGAATATATGTTCGCTTTCCTCAGCTAAGCTCAGGAGCATCCTCACTAACTATAGAATTCGTATACAAGTGTACAGAAAGCAAAAATAATTCCTGAAATATTCCTCAGAATTTTTTTTCATATGCAGTTGACCTACACTTAATTGGGGTTAGTTTAGCGGTTCTTCAGGTGCGAGAAGGATGATAGTTGCTGTTAATAAGATGGACCATCCTGAGGTCAATTTCTCGCAAGCACGGTATGATGAAATTTGCGCCCAAGTCACGAAGCATCTGTGTAAGTACACTGGAGGTTCAAAAGACAAAATACATAAAATATCGAGTTTTTCACAGAGTATTACCCCACTTTACGTAAAACGGGTGAAACTCTACTGTTGTTGCTTTGAAGTGCTTGATATGATTATTGGAATTTACTTTCAAAAGACCGGTTGAAAAATTTCGGAGCGGTCGAAGCATATATACTGTCATTTTGCGCATCGTATGTGTGTTCGTTGCTTCGAACGATTTCTCAACGACTACACCAGTTGAGCTCTCGAGACACATACCATTCGGAAGAGTGTAGTTTATGTATCCTATGTGGGAAATATGAAAATACATCTATTTTCACCGAAAAGTTGGGCGTTGTAACTGTTAGCAAATTTAAAATGCTAGAAAAAAGTCCTTGCCGTGGATCGAACCCGCGACCTGGTATCAACTAAGTTCGTCATTAGTAGTATGTGAAATTAACATCTATATTAGTATAATGGAGCTTCACCCGTGATGTGAAAAACTCAAAAAGTTTTTCACGTGGAGTATTACGCCACTTCGCGTAAAACGGGTGAAACTCCAAAGTAATTTCTGGAAATTTTCGTGGAATTTTTTTACTGAGAAAATTCCTTACCTGTGAATTTTCAGGTAATCTTGGATACGATCTAGACCGAATTGAAACTCTCCCTATTTCGGCACTCACGGGTTACAACCTCTTCGAAAGGGGGTCGGCTGATTCTACTATGAAGGGAAACGCTTTGGCAGCGTGGTAACATGTTGGAGGAATATATGTTTGCTTTCCTCAGCTGGGCTCGGGAGTTTATCTAGAAGTAAAGTCTCACCCGTGATATGGAAAACACTAGTTAAAAACATTTCTCACATTTCACTTAGCGAAAAACGCATGTAAGCAGTGGGTAACGCGTAAAACAC